GTGAAGTGCCACACTTACTGTCATAGACCTTAAGACAGGTATAAGGCAGGCACTAAGGACATTCAGGGAAGGCATGATGGTACTTGAATACATGAAAATTTTGTTTATAAACAAAAAGTAAACATAAGAATTAATTTAGTCCTGATTCAAGCTCAATAATGTAATGAAGATTTTGGAATGAGCTTTGTGGCACAAAGAATTTTCATCCTTTTCATAGCGTTCATCAGCGTTGAGCTTTGCTGAATATTAACTGTTTGTAAAGAAAATAGGTAGAAGATGCAAAGAATGGAAATATATTTTAGTCATTTCTGATTGCTAATCAGGACATTTAAGGATCTAAACCCAGATTTATATTTTTTAACATTTGAGGCATGCAGTTGACGTTCTTGAAATGGGAGGCTCATGGTCATGGATATGGATTGGATCCTATCAGGTAACCTTAATCTCTGTAATTTCAGTTACAAGAGCTAAACAAAAAAAAGAAGAAAAAAACATTTATAATTATGGGCTAGCAGAACAGTATGATATTGTTATTTGAGGAAAGAAAGATACCATGTTATGCGAATATTTTCTTATTTTTCAATTAGCTCATATGGACAAAATGTTGACCAGATAAGATACAATTTTATAGACTTCTATATTATCATGCTACATTAGAATTTTTACGAAAAAGGCAAAAGTAAACCATTTTGATGTCAGAATTTAAATTTCGGTATTAAATCATTTTGTTCTGCCCAACATAGACCCATATGTTGAATTATACACTTGCACATATAAGGAGATATAGCATGTCATTATTGAGAAACAAAAGCTTTAGGCCGCCCTTCTTCTGATGGAGTCAAGCCTATGTAGTCTAATACAGTGGTGTAGTGGGTTACGAGTTAGGCTGCTCACCACAAGGTGGCAGTTTGAATCCACCAGCTGCTCCTTGGAAGAAAGATGTAAGCACTTAGTGTTGGAAACCCACAGGGATGATTCCTCCCTGCTCTGTAGGGTCATTAGGGGTTGGAATTGAATTGGGGCAGTGGGATTTGTGTGTGTGTGTGTGTGTGTAGTCTACTAAAAGGAGGCCAAGTGGCATAGTGAGTTATTTATTGGACTGCTAACTGCAAGGTCAGCTGTTTGAAACCACTAGCTACGCTGCAGGAGGAAGAGACTTTCTACTTTTGTCAAGATTGCATCTCAGAGACCCACAAAGGGCAGTTCCACCTTCCTGTGGGGTCACTCTGAGTCGGAATGGACTCTGTGGCATTGAATTTGGTTTTGGTTTAGTCTAATAGCATGTTCTCTGTGATTATGAAAGGATGAGGCTTTCCTTACAGAAATCTATGGCTAGAATTTAAAGTCAAAATGGTAGCAGATTACTTGGACGATGTTAGAATTGCTTTTAAGTCACCTACCTGAAATTTTGTGGAACTCCTGTAGTATCTCTTGAGCTCATTTGAGTCCACCTGAAATATATGGCAGTATGTTTATGTTTTATATTAATATTAGCTAACTTCATCAATCAAATAATTCTCACTAGTATTCTTTCTATTGAAAGCCAATTCTTTCTATTGTTTTTTTATCCTCATTAGCCTAAAGCATGCTTCATCCTCTGACATCAAAGACCCAAACTCTCAAAATTTCTCTTTGTTTCTGTTTCCTTTCTGTTATTGTCTTAATGTTTGTCATGGTCAAGTTTTTCATTGCTTGTTGCTCATTGCTCTCTCCTCCATCCTTCCCTCATCCTTATTTCTGAGCCCACGTCAATTTGGGGTTAGTTAGGGCCTGCCACTTCTCTTACTCCATCAAGACCACAGTGCTCAGCCCATCAGGGCCCACCTCATCATCACACCCTATGAATGCTCTATAGTTTCTAGCATTCTATTTACTTCTTTTATGGCCCTGACTGTATTTCGGAACTATGCATCTTATCT